TCAGTCTAAACAAAACTGTAATTTTTGAAAACTTGTCAAAATTTGGACACACGCTAACTGGACTTGATTTTCCTATGTCTCGAAGTCTGTGGACTTTTCTGTATAATCTCACAGTAATTTAATAGATTGCTCGTCATATTATATCAGCTCGTAGGAGATTAGGAAAAAAAAAGATATTTATAGTTTAAAAAATAATTTATTTAACAAAATTTAATTAAAGACGTGACAAAATAGTTACATTTCTATTGGTTCTATCGGACTTTTTTCGACTGTATAAATCTTTATTTTTTGTACTAACTTTAATGCATAAAATATTTTCAATCTAATAAATAATTTAATGATGTAAATAAGAGGAAATTTCTCACATGGGTGGTCAAATTCTATAGTTTTCATTATATCAAACAGCCTCTGAATGTTTTATTCAGTGCAAAACTCATCAAAATTTAATATAAATAATTTTTCCAGCCCGTCAAAAAAAAATGAACAAATTTTTCCACTTTCATGATCAAAGGCTTTTAAATGGGTAAATAATTTCGAGTTATCCAGAGATTCGGATTCTTTTGCAAATTTTAGACAAATATCACATTGATGTATTTGAAGACCCTTTTTAATGATGTAGTCAAACATAATTAAAGGCATTTTGAGTTGAAATCTTTTCTCAGAGGCTGTTTGATATAATGAAAACTATAAAATTTGACCACCCATGTGAGAAATTTCCTCTTATTTACATCATTAAATGATTTATTAGATTGAAAATATTTGATGTATTAAAGTTTCAAATAAAGATTTATATAGTCGAAAAAAAAAGTCCGATAGAACCAATAGAAAGGTAACTATCTTGTCACATTTTTAATTAAATTTTGTTAAATAAATTAATTTTTTATACTATAAATATTTTTTTTTTCCTTATAAATAAACACATTTGCATCCCATTTTAAATAAGATATACAAATTACCAAAACTTAGAAATAACAGTTCAAAAGTTCAACAAAAATCCTAGGTCCGTATTTAAAAAAATTAAATTTGCCTAGGTATCTCAAAAATTATCAGCTTATTTGAAAATCTAAAAGTACTATCAGATAGCCCTAATAAAGTGGCTATGATAATGTGCAATTGTTTTTTGATTTTCTAAAAAGTAACGACAGGAAAAAATAAAATTGATTTTCAGAAAAGTCAGTTTCTTTCCAAAAAACTCAGCAATCCTTGAAATTTTTAAAACTTTTTTGATGGCATTTTGGTGAACATCCCAAAGCGGCAACTTTGTCCCAATTTAATCATTTCGTATCTATTACGGTTACCGAGATACCAATGCTCGTACCTCGAATTCGTAGCACCCTGTATAATGAAACACCCGGTATAGGTAGATAAAATTGTGCAAGTAGACTATTCTACTCTTACATATTATTAATCTATATAGATATTAATAACAATAAAAAAATAAAAATTTACTTAAGAAATTGCTTTTTTTTCTCAACTCAAAATGATTCATTTCCAATCTTATACTAACAGTATGTATAATAATTTTACACCTAACCTGTCTACTTCTATATTTGATAATTTTTATGCTCTATTAAATACATAATATATCAAATAAGATTGTAATTATCTGCACAATTATTTGTGCAGAGCATAGAATACACTGTGAGCTAAAGAATCTATATAATTATATTTTATAATTCCGTTTCTTTATAAGTAACAACAAAATAGAGTAATATAAAAAAAATAACCTTATTATCATTAAGGAGAAACCCCAATCTAGTATGAGGAAAACTTTAAGCATTAATCTTAAAGTTTTATCTGAAGGAAAAAAATAGTTTTGCTAAACTCTGCAAAAAAATATCAAGTTGTGATATTCTGTATAATAGAATACACAATAAAACAGTGTTTTATGTTGTTTACTTTATTTTAAGGGTCTATTTTCGGCAGAACTTTTGCGTGATATGGCCTAATAAAATTTCAGGAAAACCCTAAAAGAAATTAGAAACATATAGAGGACAGTGACATACTATTAATTTATTAAGAAAAAAATAGTTTGGAACTATAAAAAGGACATAGTGTATTATAGAATAGACAATATAGATTATATTATAGGACATTATAGAATAGAAATTCAACGGAAAATAGTAGGAAAGCATCGTATTCAAATCTTGAAAAATATTGAAATATACCGGATGCGTCTCAAAAGTGGCTCACCCCCTATAACTTTTTTATTTTTTCAGATAAAAGAACGGAATTTGGTAGATTAGTGTATGACATAAATTAGGATTGATTGACGTATTCAATTGTTTTCGGTCACTTCCTGATTCACCGGAAATCACTACAACTTTTGATTTTTAAATGGCACTCTCGGTATTTTTTTACTTTATTCGATAGAAAATGACATATCATAAATATGTCAACTATTGAAATTCTCGCTTAAAACAAAATTAAATTTAAAATTCAATCTAGAGTGCCATGGTTATGTTAAAAACACTAATCTTAATCAAGGAGCCTTGGAAAAACAGATTTGATCGTCTAATGATTTTAGTTTCTTGTCCTGGTCAGTTAGAAAATGCTCAAAAAGCATTTTTTAAGAATAATTTGGCACCACACACTTGGTATTTCGAGTCAAATTTTCGTTACGATCCGCAAGTTATAATTTCAAATAAACCATATATGTGAAAATGTCAAAAGTTGACATATGATATGTCATTTCCGGTGAAACAGGAAGTAACCGAAAACAATTGAATACGTCAATCAATCCTAATTTATGTCATATAGTAAAATACCAAATCTCGTTTCTTTATCTGAAAAATTAAAAAAGTTATAGGGGGCGAGCCACGATTGAGACGCACCGGTATAACGTATGAGCAATATGCTAAACAGATTATCATGCTCTTTAAATGGTATCTTGATACACTTTTAATCATATTCGATTAAGTTTCTTTGACATCAATACTATGTATATTTATCGATTTTACTAAAACATTCCAATGAAGAAATTAGAAAATCTCCTTTAATGATAACTCAGATTTAAGTAAACTACAATATTTTAACAAACATTGTTAGAGGATTGAATATTAAGGATCAATTTGAATGTGTAAAGCCGGTTATGTTTTATAAGAGTTTTTTAAGATGTGTTTAGAGCACCAATACTTCTTTTAAACTTGTTATAATAAATTTGTTATAAAATATAGCAAAGACTGATTTATTTGATATTTTTAACCTTTATGTTTATAATTAACAACAAGATTTAATGGAACCAAAGGTCTGAAACAAGGGTGCTGTATTTCACCAACACTGTTCAAGATGTATCTCGAACAAGTTCTCAAAGGTTGGAAGCAAAAATGTAGAAATATGGGAGTACCCATAGGGGATAACATGCTCTACACACTTTGCTTCGCGGACGATCAGGTGATCATAGCACAAGATTACGATGACATAAATTATATGACACGTAAGCTTATAGAAGAATATCAGAAATGGGGACTCGAGATCAATACTAACAAAACAGAATATATGTGTATCGGAGGAGAACAACAAGATCTAATACTAGAAGAAGGGAAGAAAATTAAGTGCTGCACAAAATACAAATATTTGGGTATGCAAATCACAAATGATGGACTTTTGGATACAGCAATTAAAGAACGAAACCAACTTGGAAGGAATGCTATCACGGTATTGGATGGGATACTGTGGGACAGAAGCATAAACAACAAGAACATAACTCTAATATACAATACCATCATAAAGAGTATAACCAGGTACAGCTGTGAAGTCTGGCCAATTAAGGAAACAACAAAACGAATGCTGGAAGCTACAGAGATGGATTTTTGGAGAAGATCAGCAGGCAAATCAAGACTCGAGCGAATAACTAATGAACGCATAAGAGAGATTATGGAAGTTAGACATGCGATAGTGGACGACATAAAGAACAGTCAACTCAGATGGTACGGGCATGTCCAAAGAATGGCAGAAATAAGAATCCCAAAAGCAAATTATAAACGTAATATGGAAACCTGCAGGAAGAAGAAAACCGGGTAGACCGAGAAGAAGTTGGCAGGACGGGATTGACACGTTTATGGAGGAAAGATCTCTCGGAGACGGTGCATGGAGAGACAGACAGGCATGGACAGATGGCATCGGAAGACGTAGAATGTTTTAAACCGATTAATATATATATGTTTATATTTAAAAAAAAATGATAACAATCTTAGGTTAACGAATTGAAGTGATTTTACAGGAAAAATTATCGAGTATGATAGTTTTTTGTAGTTTTATTGGAAAATATTTGAAATTTTCGATTGGTGTTATTTTTGATCGCTGGTATCTTTGAGAAGGTTTATCTGAGGAACTTTTTTTTGTAGAGCAAATGTTCTATAAATGTTCTCGCGAGGATGTTGCGGAATCAAACTATTCCGAAATTAATAAAATTCAAAAATAAAAAAAAATTCCGTGTTATTTAAATGAAAAAACAACAAATAAATTGAGGCAAACCTTAATATTAATATTAAGGGTTCTATTAGGCGCCAAAATTTTTGTTTTTAAATTTACTTTCAACTTTTCAACACCATAAGAAAAAAAAGTTTTTTTTTATTTTGAAACACCCTAATGTAATATTAAACATCACAGAATTTTCTTTTATATCACCAAAAGATAATTCGTAGTCAACTGACAACAAAAGACATGAATCAACTCATTTTAACAACTGATATGATTTGTTATGTCTTTATTTTTGAGAAAATTTAGCCCAAACATAAGGAATATTTTGTTGATGTTTGACCATTAAAATCTTAAAAATAAGGAAGTTGTCTAAAAATGTGCTACAATACGGATATAGTATAATCCTTTATATTTAATTTCCTTCTTCATTTGTGTAAAAATACCTAGCCACTTTTACATAAAACGTTAAATGCCGAACGCTTATTTTTCTTCTTTTTCTATCACTCCTTTGCAATTAATTTAAAATAACTATTTTTTTCAATGAACTTATTATCAAAAATTAAACTCAAAAGACCTACCTGGCTATTAAGTAGTTCTAACCAAAACCTTCTCTTCGTTTTTTAAAAAGAAAAACCAAGTTTTCACTGCACTTTCTCGCGGTATTTTTAAAAGAAAAACTCTCGGCAGTACCAGCGCGCGGTCAATAGCTACCCGTACGACTCAAGACAGGTGAATGTGGTACATGCGGTACCCGGAGAACCGCGGTACACGGTACTTCTCTGCTCTTACCGATCACCAAAACGGTTCTGCTGAGCCAAATGAGAAAGGACCGGGTTTCGGGCCGTTTGGGTACTGATAGCGGTTCAAATTGGGGCTTTAACTTTTATAAAAAGAGTTTTTTTCTTGTTTTGAAGCGGTCGGGTACTATTTCTTCCGATAATTTTGTTGTTAGTACTGTCTTTTTTATATTAAATAAGATCTGAGTATTCTAGATACACTCAGATACAAAAAACCGCAACGAAGAAAATGTTAGTCAACTTTAAAGTCTTATATTGTTGTTATTTTTAGCCCTATTTTTATGATTTTTTTTAGCAAACTGTATATAATTATGTCAACTTTAATTCCTACAATAAGTACAATAATTTCGTGCGTAAATTTTCCTAAAATATAATTTTACGGTCAGAACCATGCCTCCTAAGCATTATGTTTTTTGATTCATGTCAACCCATGCTTTGGTTAATTTTCAAGAGCGAAATAAACTTGCCACCAACAATTTGCAATTTTATCAATTATCATTTCTTTTTGAAGTTATTTTTCAATACGAAAGTTGGCTTTAGTGATTATTGTGAACTATATATACATACTCCAGGGTTGTCGCAACTAACGTCGCATCCCCACGCCTAACCGCGACCTGTTACGATCAAGAACATCTTCCTCTTCCAAGTTACGGTCCTCCATTGCCCTTCTGATGGCCTCATTCCAGGATTTTCTAGGCCGTCCTCGTTTCCTTTTTCCAGGAGGTGACCAGCTGTAGATACTGTAGGGCCATTTTTGGTGTTCCATGCGTAGCAAGTGTCCAAACCACTTAAGGCCCCTCTGTTCGACTCTATCCACTATTGTCTGTGTGGCATCTATTTTGGTTCTGATTTCCACGTCCCTAACTCTAACCAGTTTAGATACTTTATATGGTGAACTATATACTACTATGAACTGCCCATCATGTTCAACGTTTGCTCGTTGTTAGAAATGCTCGGCAGGAGGGTTAGAATTCGCGAAGCGGGTACCAGCTTCATTAAATGGTGTTTTCTTTTGGAAAATTTGCACACGAAATTATTGCACAGGGTATTTTAAAGTTAGGGTAAAAAAACAACCCCTCGATTAACCCTGTACAATATACTAAAGTTTATAAAAAAATTAGTTATGAATTAAAGTTAAAATAACAAAAATATAACACATTAAAAATTTGACTAAAAATTTCCCCGTTTGAAACTGAACAAGTAAGAATGCAAAAACAGGCAAACCTTAAGTTATATACAATATGATCGAAAAAAACCGCGTCAGCGATGGCTATGAAATGAAGATCGCTGTCATTTTATATGTAAAATTATATGAGGAAATTCCAAACCAACTGGACGCAGTTTTTTTCCAATCATACGGTAATATTTTTGTTATTAAATTAACTCGGTTATTTAAATAATGTAATGTTACAAAATTGTTTAGAGATACCATCCGATCGAAAAAAAACGGCGTCAAAAACGGCTGGCGAATGAATATCGATGATAATTTGAGCGAGATCAAGCCCTAGACTTTTCTTTATTTTTTTAATAGTGCTTACTGCCAGTTGGCCTTAAGAAACTTGTAATTTATTTTTATATCTTTTTTGTCCTCCGTTTTACCTGACAAACAAAACTGACAGGTGTAGACGCAGCTTTAAATAGGTATGTTTCTGACTCTTTTATATCCCTTGATAGTTTTACTTAAATTTATTATTTTTGCTAAAAGAATGGTGTTAAATAGGCGGAGTTATAGTATAGAAACAACTATAGGTCATAAAAGTTCGTTACACATTTTGACATTAGTCACGTTCAATGTTTAAAAAGTATTTTTACCTTTTAGTGCCCTTGAACGTTAGCACCATAACAGGCATTTAACTGGTTCTGTGATAGTTACCGCTCGCAAGACAAGTTAAAAAACCTATTATACACTTTTGCCCGCAGAAACACACGGTACTGTTAAAAATTCCTGTATACCTACCGACAATGCCGTAATGTGCAGTACGTCTACTGAAACGTATAAGAGTTTGTTCTTTTCTGAGAATATTACAGATAAAATTTAAAATAAATGACAAAATAACAATTATTTTTTGGTTTATTTTTTCAAAAATTTGTCAGTCAGAAATGTAGAATGACTGAATATTTATTGTGTCCCCCTGAGCTTCTATCCTCCTCTGACAACAACTGTATATCTTCATCAACTTAATATACGCAACTTAAACACGAATTGTGCATTATTTTCTATAATAGTTATTTTTTATACAAGACGATAAAATGGTATTTTATCGTCGATCGGAAAAGATAATTCAGGAGTTAATTCATTTCAAGAGACGATAATGAAATTTTATCGTCGTGTATAAAACAATATATTTTTCCATAGCGAGTTACGTTTTAAAAAATATTCAGAAACTATTATTTCAAGGAATTTATTACGAGTAGAAAAAATATTGTGCTGGGTTGGCGTTGGTTTCTATGTAATTTGACAAATAAATATATAAAGCTGTCTCTTTAGTTATCAGTTTTGACCAGAGAGAAACTAATAAGTAAAGTGAGAAGGCTTGTGGAATAGGGCATTTCGTAGACAAGTTTATTTTGCCACCGCGCATCCCAGACGCGCATAGCGTTTAGGCGGTCAAAAAATGAAGTTATCAACTTTGCAAGTTAAACATTTGACAGGATTAATTAGATTGTCAGTAGCTTTTTCTATTTCTTAGCTCTAGAAGGAGATAACTAAAATCTGTTGATAATCGGAGTAATAAATTGTTTTTGACTGAAGGTGCCTGTTCTTTTAGCTTGTCAGAAGAGAAGATTATTGTCATTATTGATTATTTCAGATTCCACGATTATTCGGCATTTTCGTTTTGTGGTTGAGATCCAGACAAAACGTTTCGTTTAAAGGTAAGTTTTATCTCGGTAATTATTTTAACATACCTAATAGTAATAGTGAGTGCACATAATAATCACCTGTTCACTCCCAACCAAATAAGATAAAAAAAAAGATATCGAAGATTGAAGCTTTGAGTTGGAGTATGGCAAGGAGTATGGAGTTAAATAAATTCTTATGTTCCTAAACAGTATTTTATTTATAGGTTTTAATGCGTTAAAGTGTATAAAATTAAATTTTCGTTGTCAACAAAATAATCTAAAAAAACTACGAAGATTTCTTATTATAAAATTAAAAGATTAAGATTCGGTTCAAATATACAAATTTTAAATTTTTGGCGCCAGTATATAGGTATGAATGCAACCTACTATATCGATAATGCGCTCATAGTTCGGGTTAGACGCCAAAAGCCGCGCTACTAACACAGTCTTCAAAAATTAACGTTGATCTTTCTCACTTTAGTTATTAGTGTTCTCTCTGGTTTTGAGTCAATATTTTTTAATTCTCTTTCGTGTCGATTGCTGATTGAATTGGAGCCAGAAATGGCTCAAAACAAAATAAGTAAATTACCAACAGATATGCAAGCTGAGGCGACCAAACGCCACATATCCAAGCTACTTCCATTTAAATCCTGAATAACTTATGAAAAGGAATACAAAAATTTTCAAAAATGGAAGCAATTAAAAAACGTGCCAGAAGAAATAAGTTTTTAACCTATCCTCGCTGTTAAAGTATCATTTAATCTACCCTTGCGGCTAAAGTACTATTTTATCTGCTATTTTTGAGAGATATAAGGCAATTTTAACAGTTGGTATGAAAAAAAATTAATAATTCTGAAAAATGTAAATTTTGTCAGTGATGTAAGGAAATCGCATGTCTAGACTTAGGTATAATAATTTGCCCCACTTTTTAAACCAGAAGCTAATAATAATGCAACAGTAAAAGATTTAAAATGCCAATTAATCTTTTTAGTTTCGAAAATGTTGAAACGCGAAATGTTAAAATATGTTTTATTAATTTTGAGAGATTCTCATTAAAACTAGCCTAAATTATACAGGGTGGCCCATCGAAAACGTTCCGCAAGGCATAACGGCCAGGGTAATTTTTTTTAGAAAATCCAAAAACACGTCAATTTTGTTTGTGAGGGGGACAACTTTTGCCCCAAAAATGATTGCAAAATATTCAACCCTCTAAGCGGGGGTGTCATCCCCCAACTTTTTTCAAATGAGAAGGGGGGCACTGCAATGAAAAGAGCTTTCTATTCTCTATATTTCTCCGCTTCGTTTTTGAAAATCGGTCTAGTCATTGAGAAAATATGAAGGATTGAAATTTGAAATGTTTATTTAAACATTTATTAGAGTAAATGATAAGGATAAATTCCTTCGACCAATTTGCTGTTTTTTCTTATTATTTTTAGATGTTTACGCATTTTTTTACTTGCCACAAGGTTGAACGATCAGTTTCAGTTCTTTTTCTTTTTTGACACCCTGTATATTTCTTTTATCGACCAGCTTTAAAAATATATACAGTTATTGAAGATTCACCCTGTCAAGGGCGTAGATAAGGGGGGGGTACTGGGGGACAGTACCCCCCCCTGACGCTTGACGAGATACGAGAATTGAAATAGTCATTGACTATGAAAGGATTTTTTTAATTAATATCCGACATATAAGAAGACTTTGTATGCTTTTAATTATGTTGATTTATCGTTTATAATATGTTCGACCTAATTAAAAGCACACAAAATGTTCTTATTGGCCAGGACAGATTAGTGGGGTTAACTCTAATCAATATCCATAAAGATATTGAAATAAATGTTGATGCTGTTATTGATAGGTTTTCCAAACAGCGTACTAGAAAACTTGATTTTGTTTTGTAGTTTTATTTATAGTTTTTATAGTTTTTTTTGATAGTTTAGATTTTTTATTTATAGTTTATAGAAAATTAACTAATAAACGTCGTTGTTTCATTTTTGTGTATGTTATTTACAAATCTATATTTTAATTTTTGTGTTATGTTTTTATATCTTTTTGAAGACAAAAAAATCGCCGTCGTTTTAATTCGACAAAAAAATTCCGACGGTGATTTTTTTTTGCGACTTAATCATAGTACCACCCCCATAGCAT